AGATTATGCAAGATATAAGTTATACACACACATATATATATATATATATATATATATATATACATACATATATATGTATATATGTATACAAATGCAGTAAAAAAAATACATACATTTAAAAAAAATAATAATATATACATATGTATGTTTTTTGTCATTTCGATTATTTTTAACATGTCACCGTTTGTTGCGGCAGTGACACTGCCGCTGTCAGCCGGAGTATAACGTAGACTGTAACACACACACTTAACTGCAGAACGATATTTAAATGATGATACTTTAATTTTAATTTAATTTTAAATTTTAACTTTAACTTAATTGATGATATTTAAAAAAAATATTTGATAGAATTATGCAATAAGAAATGAAACCATTTTATAACAATGTGAAATTTTATATTAAAGGGGTCATCGGATGCTACATGCACTTTTACAAGTTGTTTGAACTGAAATGTGTGTTGGCAGTGTGTGTACACAACCCCCCTATAACGATAAAAATCCAGTGTTTTTTTTTAATCTACTAAAATCTTTACCCCTTTCTCAAATCAAGCCGATCTCAGATGCCTGTCTGTGTGACGTCACAAAGACAGGCCCCTCCCACGATAGTTTGATTGACAGTAGCGTTTCAGCACAGACTGGACTGGTGTCTTACCTCAGACCCGCCCTGAGTGAGCTGTCATCAGTCCGCCATTGTTTCACCGCCGGAGCAGATGTAGACAAGAATTGTCATGTAGACTAGAAGGTGTTCTGTTGTTGGATGTAATAATGAACATAGCATTCGTCATTTACTCCCGACATCTGAGCCGCTGAAGACGCAGTGGATTACGTTTGTTTCTGAAGGGAATGCGCCCCCGATCTACAAAAATGCGTCTATGTTCGCGCGAATCATTCGTGATCCAGCTTCATCTACTGAAGAAGCGAGTATAAGGTTTTTTTAATCAATCTTTGCAAATCGCCTTTCCTAATAATGTGCTAATTAGCAAGTTTCACGATGAATGCGGCTAAAGTAAACAGTCTCTTTGAGAGCGGCTCGGAAAAGAAGGGCGTGGTCAGCAGAGCTCATTAACATTTAAAGGAAAATGCTACAAAACGGCTTGCTCTGAAAATAGCTGTTTTTGACAGTGTAAAAAAGGTGTTTTTTACACTACCATTGAGAAATTTTAACCAAACTATGTTACAGACTTTTCATTAAGACCCTAAAGAATCATATCAACTTGTGGAAAATGGGCATCCGATGACCCCTTTAATGTAGGCTATTTGACAAAACATTCAGGCAAACAAAGGGACATAAGTCTAATATTAAACATGAAGAAGTCTAAGTTGATTTAATGTTACCGCTACTGTGAATTTAACCATTATGATGAAACTAACAGCTATAAAACTATCATGTATAAATAACTTGCTATCCATACAATATATCTTCATTTTTGGCATTTTTGTTGTAATGGGACTTGAAAATCCTAATGGTCCTAAAACTAGGCTTCATTTTCCTGTTATAATATTTATTCTATTTATTTTATTAGAACATTTAGAATGATTTATAATTTTATATATATATATATATATATATATTCTTTTAGTTTTGTTGTGACGTGACTTTGTTACATATTCTTGACTGTTGTTACAACCCAAAACTTTGTCGATTTTGTCTAGGGATATAGAGGGAATGTAACATTTGCAAAAAATCCTATAACCAAATTAGCATATAGCCTAGTGCAAGTTAGACAGTGGGCAAATAGAGTAGAGGAGAACACCACAAGTTCAAACAGAGAAAAGACATTTATTTGCTTTAACCCCAACCAGTATAATAAGGAATATACTTTAAAGGTATTCAAAATAAATGTACAATTATCAATAAACATAAAGGAAAATAAAAACTTTGAACTAATAATACAAATGAAATCACCAATGGAAATGATGAAGAGAGCACAAGTGTTGCCAATTCAAATAACCAAATAAAACAAAACTGGTGAAAGATAACAACAGTAAATATCCAAACATATCAGATCAGATCGTAACACTGTGTTTTGAAAGTCACCGGCTTCTAAACCTTTTGCTTTGCATTATATGTTAAACTTTGTACAAGCACACTCTCAGTATCCCTTGTCCATATCTATTTAGATGCTCAGGTAAAAGGTATGCAGCACATCATCGTTCCTGTAAGGCAGCAGACAGTTTTTTGGTGATTGGTTCATGCTTTGCGAGTCCAATTGGGTTTCCTGACAGCAACACCAAGCCGGATGTTGATTCTCTAGGCTTTGGCAACTCTGACAGCTGAAAATGTTTCTCCTCTGCAAGTCATTTCTTTGGTTTCTCACCTCTTATTCCACCTGACGCCTCCCATCACAGCTCAGACCCTCTGCGTCCACCCACACAGCCAGATCCTTCAGGGAAGAAAACCCTGCACAATTATCAGCATTGCTGGGGTTTCGTTTTTTGACAATTCCCCTCATTCCCAGGAGGAAATCCTTACCACAAACAAAGAACATGTCATGATATCTTAAAACAAATGTGGCGACAGTACATAATTATATAACGCTTAGAAAAGTTAGAAAACTTGTGCAGAGTATGACTCTTTTTGTATAATACTTCCTTTGTTACTTCATAAAAATCACAATCACAGTATTCTTCAGGTTGTTTTATATTTTGAGGCTTTGTGTATTTGTGCCTTTAGGGGCTGTTGAAATTGTTTTTGTAGCCCGTTAGAAGAATGACTTTAATCTGGAATGAATTTGTGGTCTGATCCTATTTACAGAAAGAGCAGGAATATTCAGAAGAACAATCAGCATTGGTGAACAAAGCCTACAGAACGCTGCAGAAACCTTTGAGTCGGGCCGTCTACATGGTAATTATTTGTTTAGTAAATATTTGTTGTGTATATGGCAGCTGTAGGTTATATACAGTGACCCCAAAAAAACTTTTGGATGCATAAGCGATAAGCCACACTAAAATTGAATGCAGAGTATGTGCATTATATATAAAACAGAATATCAAACGAAGTACCGTGTACTTTTAAAGAAAGAAGCACAAACATTTCACAAAAAGAGGTTTTTAAATAATAAAACAAGACTAAAAATGTCAGAAAAAAACTGAAATACAGAAAAAAAAACTAACAATTAAGTAAAAAGCCAATGCCATATACATGTACATTTTGTGTTATTTTACTTCTTTTTTTTTATTGTGAAATATTGTCAAATGTATGGTTTTAGCAAGTAAAATCTGTGAATTACCATATACTTTACAGTAAAAAACACGAAGAAGACATTTCTTTGAAAAATATGTTTAGTAACATTATAAATGTGTTTAGTGTCACTTTTGATCAATTTAATGCATCCTTGCTAAATAAAAGTATTAATTTCTTTCTATTTTTTATTTTGTAAAATCTTACTTATCCCAAACTTTTGAATGGTTGTTTATCACGGTTTCCACAAAAATATTCAACCTTGATAATAATAGGAAATGATAGGAATGATAATAATAGGAAACGAATAAGGACCAAATCAGCATATTAGAATGATTTCTGGAGGATCGTGTGACACTGAAAACTGGAGTAATGATGCTGAAAATTCAGCTTTGCGTCACAGAAATAAATGATTTTTAAAATATATTCAAATATAAAACAGTTTTTTAAAATTGTAATAATATTTCACATGATTACTATTTTACTATATTTTTCAAATCAAATCAAAGATCATACAAATTCAGCCATGGTTAGTATAAGAGACTTCTTTCAAAAACACACACACACACACAAAAATGATTATTTTAAACTTTTGACCAGTAGTGTATATAGTTAATGTGATTCTCTCAGGACACTTGTGTGCACTTGAGGAAAACTGACTTCATACATCCACTAAAAATCACATTCCAACCAGATCCCGCAGTGCAAATGATTTAGCAATTTAGTATCAAATACGGTAATATTTTATACAGGGGTTAAATTGGGCCGTGTGGGGCTGAGCCGCGGCACATGGCTTAGGCTGGTAACACATTAGTGAACATTCATCATATATGTTCAACAATATTCAGCTTAAAAGACACTCGGGACGGTTGACAAAATGTATCTGCACGTGTTATTTTTAAGTCTTTTGAATTTTTTTTTTAAGACTATTTACTGTAATCATGCACTCCACTTCTCAACAAATCC